CACACACACACACACACACACTTTGGGGCAGTTTTGTTTGATTGCATGCATGAAGGTTAACTTGAGGAAATAATAATAAAACAGACTATTGATCTACTAGTTATGCAGTTTTTGGTAGTTTATTGCTCCGTAAATTGTCGTTTCATGTAAATCCAACGATGTGCTTATGTTGATGGTCAGCAGGACATAGCTGGTAAACAGGTCTAAATGTGCACAGAGCCCCCCCCCCCCCCCTCCCTCGTCAGCAATTCGCGACCTGAGTGCTTTCTTGTCGCATCTCCATTTCTTTTAATGGTGAAAATGTGACTTCTTCTTAAGCTCACTCTTTGTTATGAACTGTTTTCACTGTAGTTGAAAATGGAGATACAGCAAGAAAGCTCTATTGTCGCGGTCTGATGACTGTTTTGTTCTAATTTCTCCCTGTCTTGTTGGCCATCATTGGGACTTAGCTTTTTCCAGTAGTTGAACCTTGTGGGTGGTTGGCGGGTGTTCTGGTGTGGTTTACTCCTTCTTTCCTATAAAAAAATGTATTGTCTCTATCTCTCCTCCTTTTTTGTGTTTGTTACTCCCTTGTAACACCTCTAATCTTCGGCACTTATATGACCTTATTGTGTTGCAAGTGCTGTAAAACTCTTACTAAAACTAAAGGGCCTTCCTGAAATAAAACATTCTGCCTCTTCTGCGATAGTGAAACAGTTTCTTTTGCAAATTATTGCTCATTATGTTCCTTCTCTTTTCTCATTGTAACGTTTTGCCTCTTCCCTGGAAGTGAAACAGTTATATGGTCGCTTTTAAGGACAAGCGGGCTAACCCAGATTTCGGGGGTTTCCAGAAATCTTGACCAACACCAAAAGTGGAGATTGCCCTACCTTTAGGAGAAGTTTGGTTTCATTGGTGTGTATATTTGTTTGGTTATAGACAAAACTCTCCTTGTCTTTTAAAGAAACTGACTGAACAAGGGGCAAAAACTTTACCTTCAGTTTTCTGAAAACTGCATTTTTCAGGATAGCCCCGTTGTGCTTAAAAGCGACCATATGCAAGTAACTGCTCATTCTAATCATTCTCTTTCTCTCATTGCCACCAGGGTGAGTACAAGCTCCCGGAGATGTCTGTGGAGATCGACGCCTCCATCTTCCTCCCCGGCACCTACAGGGCTCAGGTCACTCTCTCGGACTTGTCCGACGGTCAGCTCGGATGCTACAAGCTCTCTTTCACCATCGGCTAGGTCAGTGCTAGATATATACAGTACTGCCTTTAACACCTTGCAGTGACTTGGTGCAGTAATGCGCCGGTGGAAATCTTCCGTTCCGGTCTCCTGGTGCCGTTCTGTGCCAGGCCCGATAAGTCTGTTGCAGTCACTCTCCAGGCTGGGTGACCAGATTGAGCATTTTGTACTGCTGGCTTTGTGACTGCAAAGTGTTAAAAGGGGGGATATTGACACGTAGAAATGTCAATGGGCTGATCTATCCATGTCATGATCACACCACTGTGCCGGAACAACATAGGGGGAACTGCTTGCTTTTTTTTCTCTCATCCTTACTATCGTCATTTTCCTTTACTTCTTTTGTATGTTTGTCACTCTCTTGTGAACTGCTATTTCCGGGGTGCCTTGATAGTCAAAGCAGACTTTGTGCTGTTGAGGCAAAAGAGGTGAGCAGAATAAGTCTGATTCCCTGTAAAGACTTCTCTGTTGACACCCACCCTTTGGCGCTCATATGACCTTATGCAGTTGCGAGCGCCATTAAACATTCTACTATAAAAAAATATATATATACTTTCCAAAAGTGTTTTGCCGTCCTCTATAAACTTAGATCTAAATGCTTCATATGTTTTTTCGTCCTCAGATATTTTCGCTCACACTCAGGTTTGGGAGAGGGAAAGTTCGCCAAGGGGAGCTCATGGCAGTACAAGTGGGAAAGCTTAGCTTACTTTCCTTTCTTCATATTGTTAAGAAATTGTGTTAAAGATTTTTTTTACTCACATTTGACACGCAAGTTATTAGCCTAAATTTCTAGATTCTTAATTATTAAAATTTTATAAAAATGAAATGATATTTTATTGCTTGTGAGTGTGACATGTAGAATGAGGGACTAAAAGAATTGTGCTTTTTTCGACATTATACTTGGACATTTTAAAAAGTTGTGTCATTTGCTGGTGGCCTTGACACACATTTTTTATAAAGTTTATGATGTGTTCCCTTCTCTTAACCCTATCCTTACATCATGGGGAACTCTTCCCCTCTTCTTCCCCTCCCCCCTTTCCAAAAAGGAAATTTACTCGTTAATCCGATCCGTAGGCTTTACATAGCAGTCTGTCACAATGTATTTTTTGAGAAATACTGAAAGTTTCAAAGAGATCTTCGCACTAGAAGTATTCTAAATTGTGAAGAATACAACTCCGGGGGTACAAAATGACCCCAGGCGTACGGATAGGTTTATCTTGCTGGCATCTGAAGTTGATTGGCTAGGATTTTCAAACCGGCATGCTGAGGACGTGAGCTCAGTTCCCTGTGTGTCCCACTCAGCCCGGGTAAGCTCAGACAGGGTAGGGGCGGTCTCTTGTGGCCTAGAGGTTAGGGTGTTCGCCTCTCATTCAAAGGTCCTGGGTTCAAAACCGGGAAGCGACCGAAAAAAACTGTCTTCTTTAAAATTGTCTCCTTTCACCTCCTTTCCTGCTCTCTAGCAATGTACTGTGGTCTAAAATCGATAAGAGTAGGCTTCGGCCACCACCCGGGTAAAGTTCAAAATTTCCTACCGAATAAAAAAGTTTGATGTGTCCTGCACGCTCATATGCAGTTGCGAGCGCCGTAAAACACTTACCAAAAAAACCCAACAAGGTAGACCTAGCTGACCACCCCACAGTGATTCTACACGACGTGTTGACAGGCACTTGATCTGTACAATCATCATTACTGTACGTGATCCTTGTCGTAAGTCAGTAAGTTTATTCAGTTTTTAAGGTCATTGGCCCACGTCACATCATATAACAGTCATTTGTTCAATAAAATTTCCGTAATAGAAGAGTACAGGTTGTGCACCTATCTTTTATCATGGGTCAAACATTGCTTGTTTCCGACTCTGGGCCGAGTCTGTTATTGTCGTACACTCACTGCAGAGCTGCCAACTAGGGTAGAAAATAAAGTAAAGTTGTTCCCGCCTTTGGCATATTGTGGTAGGGTGGCCAGTTCCTTTCCACGCCACCTTTACTTTCCCAACTCGAAGTCAGGTACCTATTACTGCTGAGTGGGCAGGAGGGGGCGAAAAAAATCCCGTGTCCGAACCGAGTTTTGAACCCGGACTTTCCGCTTCGGAGATCATGTGTGCCCACTAGGGTATAAGAAAGTTTATTGAGTACATTTTTGAGGGTCTGAGTGTGAAGACAGTTTTTGTGAGGGAAATATCAGGTATTGTCTGCTTTCTCGTGATGATTCTTGGGGATTTGCTGATGCAGAAGGAAAATTATGAACAACAGGATTTGCGAAGGATAATGATGATTCAATAATGAAGCCCATGATCAATTGGAGAGACGTTGACTTAAGATTTCTGACTTACTTACATGCAGAAAAGTGTGTGTGTGAGCGGTTTGGAGGGGGGGGGGGGGTTACTTGTCCAGTTCCCACCATTTTGACCCGCTGCGTCTGTAGTTTCCTTTTTTTATTTTGAAAAGTTGGTAGCTATGTCACCGTAATTGAAATAGAACAGTAAATGTTTATGCGGAACTTTTTTTACATTGATTTAGAAATCTCCGTTTTTGTACAAACATTTGTGATCTGCGTCTTCTTTGCTTTTATCTTGTGATTTTTTGTGTTGAGTATTCTCGGTACTTCTTTTTTCTTTGTTATATTTGTCGGCGATGGAAGAGAGTTCCCTTAGACCAGGAAAAGAGCGTTGGTAGTTGGCTACTAGTTGGTCCTATCTTATCCATGTCTGTCATCATCTGGCAGTTATTGATCTGATGCCCTTTCTAAATGTAAGGGTAGTTTTATTTCTATCTGTCACTTCTGAAGGTCTGATTGATGTATTGTATAATATCTTGTATATTTTTTGTGAATGGAGTCGGTAAAAAAATGTTTGACCTTGCTATACACTGCTATAACTTTTGCTCTCACTCACATTCCAGCGTCTCCTGAATGCCGCGACAATCTCTGTCTTTGTGTCAGTGTGCTGTTCATTCAGTGATAGTCTCTCTCTTTGAGTCAGTGTGCTGTTCATTCAGTGATAGTCTCTCTCTTTGTGTCAGTGTGCTGTTCATTCAGTGATAGTCTCTCTCTTTGAGTCAGTGTGCTGTTCATTCAGTGATAGTCTCTCTCTTTGTGTCAGTGTGCTGTTCATTCAGTGATAGTCTCTCTCTTTGTGTCAGTGTGCTGTTCATTCAGTGATAGTCTCTCTCTTTGAGTCAGTGTGCTGTTCATTCAGTGATAGTCTCTCTCTTTGAGTCAGTGTGCTGTTCATTCAGTGATAGTCTCTCTCTTTGAGTCAGTGTGCTGTTCATTCAGTGATAGTCTCTCTCTTTGTGTCAGTGTGCTGTTCATTCAGTGATAGTCTCTCTCTTTGAGTCAGTGTGCTGTTCATTCAGGAGACAGTGTGGTGAAATCAGGCTCTTGTCAAAATAATGAAATTGAAGAAACTGGCATTTTTCTGCCAGTTTGGCAATTAAGATCGAATTTTTGTTTTTTGACTTTACACCATTGTTGTCCAATTAAGAACACATTTCTGGGTGGATTTTTTCTGAAAAACATTGATTATTAAAGACAAAAAAACATGTGCGTTTTCAGTTTCCATGGACCATCAAGCTTCAGAAATAACCAAACTTTGGCGACCATTTTCTCGTTAATTTTACTTTTGAAACCATGCAACCCCACCTTATTCTATCTCAAATATTTTGAATTTTATTCAAGGTAGATGGCCATTTTTTTCAACAATAGTAAGACACCTGAACAAGCTATAAGAAGATGATACCAATAACTCCACATGCCCAAAAATTGATGAACGCCTGATTGCACCACGTCGTGACACATGTCATTCATGTTGTTGTTCGTCTGTGAACGTGGTTGATTGTTGGGTGTTCCAGTGTGGATTGTTCCTTTGTCCCAGTGGAGTATGCTTCTCCCTTGTCTCTCCACCATCTTCTCTACATTTGTTTCCTCCCTACTAAGACCTAATTGGGCACTTATACGACCTGTTTGTGTCGCAAGTGCCTTAAAACGCTCTCCGAATAAAAAATCTGTGTCGATGGTTTTATAACATGCTAAAGGACTCAGAACAGGCACTTGCCATGTATGCCCAGTATCCGGTTACTAGTTCCTGTTGGCAGTGTTAGTGCAGCATACATTCTGGTTCCTGCCAACAAGTGCTGTGGTGAGACCACTGATTGGGAGAATAATGTAGAAGAAAGGTTGTGTATGGTACGTCCAGTTTTGTTTTGATGTTTTGTACAAATCCGTGCTTTCCTTGTCCCTATGCAGTTACAGTTTTTTATGGTGGTGTTTTTTTGTTGTTTTGGGTATAGCATGTTTGTTCTCTCTGTATGTCATATCCATTTCTCTGTCTTTAACGACTGTGCCATGTGTGGAATTTTATTTTTTATTTTTAAAAAAGGACACAGGAGTGAGTGTCATTTGTGTATGATCAGGTGTATTTCGGCTGTCCAGAATTTTAGTTGAAGAAGCAGCAACTTTACTACTCAGAATTGAATTGTTTACGCATTGCTGAGATGGAAATGTGTCTTTACTACAAGTACTAATGAATCTATACCAATATCATTACACAGTTCTTGCTGTGAAATAGTCCTCTCTCCTGAAGATCTGTTTTCTTTCTCTCCACAAGCACTTATCGTGTTTTAGGAATTTTCAGTCGGTTATTTGTTGACTGGGACATTATATGAATACATTGTGTATATGTATGCGTCACCAATATTTTGGAATCATGAATACATTGTGTATATGTATGCGTCACCAATATTTTGAAATCATGACTTATTTTCCTCTCGCCAACAGAAATAAAATTGCTTTTTGCACTCACTGTGGAATGCTGTTGATTGAATGTTGTTGAGTGTTGTTGTGGTGTATCTCACATAAGGGAATGGTCGAAGCTCGGCCTGATGACTTCCAGGGTTCCTGTAGCCTCCTTGAAAACTCCTTGAATTTGAGGAGCCTCCTTGAAAACTCCTTGAATTTCGTCGGATCGGACATGAACAAAATTTTTGTTCGACAATTGAAACTACGATTCCTTTCTGACAAGTGTAGGCCTATCGGATATAAGCTTTCAGGGTGAGAGTGCGCCATAGAAAACCGCATGAATTTCTTGACAAAATCTTGAATTTTAAAAATTTCTCCTGGAAATCTTGAATTTGGTTGGGAGTTTATGGCAGGAACCCTGGATTTTGTTGGTGGTTGGAAGTTGGTTGGCTCCTTCTGTCCTATCAAGTATCTGTCGTCCTGTTCACCCTCCTCCTTTTTTTTGTGTTGGTTACTCTCTTGTAACTTCATGTAACACCTCTAATCTGTGGCACTCTATATGATCTTACTTATTGTGTTGCAAGTGCTGTAAAACTCTTACTAAAACTTTAGAAAACCCCCAAAACTGATGATCTCATTCAAGGTTTTGGATGTGTTGATCAGTGAAGGGATCTACTAATTAACCAGTTCATTTCATGAAAGAAAACAAACAGCTTGTGGGAGGTTGGCAGGTGCTCTGGTGACGATGATGATGATGATTATATCGGACACTACATTTTTGAAGGAAATCAAGGAAAACAGACCAGCATCTGTGATGTAGAGTTCGTGGTTAGGTGCCTCACTGTTGCACGCTGGGGACTTTGGTCTATAGTTCCATTCTTGAGTGCAGCGATGGGAGAACATTTCTATTTTGAGTATCTCTCTTAGTCCAGGTTGGGCATGGTCGGAAACCCGCCTCCTAAATCGGGGTTCACACTTAGCAGGGGTTTTTTTCCAAAGAGTTTTCAAGGCCAGATTTCTTTTTTCCAAGACATGTAGATCTAACATGTCATTTCAGAAGAAAATTTGTTCTGGTGTGGTATTTTAAAAAAT